TTAGTATTTCCAAGTTTTTAAAATTCCTTAAGTGCCTATTTGAATTCTCACACAATAGAAACCAGTTTTGTTTTTCTAATTTGGTAAGAATGATATTTTAGCCTTCTTTCATTTGGCACCCATGAAAGCAATATTACTTGAACTCCCTTAGTATTTGCTTCTATTAAAACTTTAAAACGTAGCTGAGGAGATAGCTTAGTCAGTAAGGTGCTTTCCATGCAAGCATGAGGACCCAAGTTCAGTCTTCAAAATTTATATAAAAAGCTGAGTGTAGATGGGTGGGCATTTAATCCAATGTCTGAGAAGACAGAAGCTGGTAAGCCCCTGAGATTTGCTGGCCAGCCAGCTTAGTGGACCTGGCAAGTTATAGACCAGTGAAAGACCCTACCTCAAAAAATGAATGGTGTGTGAAGAACCACACCAAAGTTTGTTCTGTAGCCAACACACACACACAGACACACACAGACACACACACACACACACACACACTTGTTTTATATGATATATGATTAACCCCCTGTAAAGGGAGAAAATAAATCACAATGCTTGTATATTATTTTCTAATCCAGGAAAATTAACTAATTGGTTTGTGGGTTAGTAGAATCAAGTCATACAAATAGTAAGTTTTAAGTTGTAGAATGTTTACATGATAATCAGACCTTTAGTTCTGGTTGCTATGGTATTTCCAGAACTTTACAAATGAAATTTAATGAGATTGTTTTAGAAAACCAAATTCATATATTGAGGATAAAAATTTAATCCTCTCAATTCCTGATCACTCAAAATTAACCAAATATACACCATAGATAGAAAAATCTTTTTCTCAGGCTGGAGACATGTCTCAATGTTTTAGAGTACTGGCTGCTCTTGCAAAGGACCTGGGTCCAGTTCCCAGCACCCACATGGCTGCTAACAACTTTCTGTAACTCCAGTTCCAGGGAATCAAACATCCTCTTCTAGCATCTGAGGGTACTGCAAGCTCGAATGCATGCAGGCAAAACACCATACACATAAAATTAAAAACATTTTCTAAAAAAATTAAAATTATTTCATATCATTTAAACAATCAGTTGCCAGAAATTGCCAAGTCTTATATTGTTGCAAAAATGTATACCTAGGTGAAATTTCAGGCAAAAATTTAGGCTAAAATGCCCACTTTGTAAGGAAAAACCTCCTTAACATTTATGTACTATTTCATTCAGTAAATTTTCTCTATAAGCATATTATGTTCGTGAAATGTCTACTGAAGTCTTAGATGTGAATTCCTTACAAACTTTCTATATGCATACTGGTTTGTTAACATGAGTTTCTCACTTAGTTAATGTTCTTTTACTTTTTGTCATAAAACTTCAGTGAATTCTAAACAAATTTAAGCAGCAGCATGTACTGCACTGAACTCAGGTCTCTGTTTACCACAAGCAAGCACTTTCCCTGAGCTGTTCTCTTACGGGGTGGGTCCTATGGTTTTTAAAGAAATTCCTTGTTTTCTGTTTCTTCTTAGTTGATGGAGGTGATCTCTGTGTGACACTCACGGTTGCATGGCACAGCTCTGCATCCTTTTATTTCCTTTCGAGCTTATTCTCATCAACTCTGCTTTTATTTTTGCGTAATAAATGGTGACAAAGGACATTGCCATTGCTACATAGATTGAAATGAATGAAGTTATTTCTTCATAGCTTCACCTATGAATGAATCCCGCCTTATTTGGTTTTAGAGTCTACTTTTTGGGGTCAATGATCTATACCTATTTACCAGTGTGCATATTTTCAGTTTTCTCCTTAAATTTTCCTTAATTTACCCTAATAAGGAATGAAAGGCACATGTAGTGCAGCTCTCTGCTCCTTATTATACACCCAGAAACAATGATAATCATGAAGCATTTGGGTGCAGATACTAAAGAAACTTGTAACTGATGATTTGGCCTGGAAGCCATTTTTATAAAAGATTTCTTCAACTTACACAAAATAAAATTATACATTAGACTTATATAGGATGAAATTAGCCTGTTTATGAAAAGGTCTTCCTATAACAAATTGTAAAAGTAGGTCCATATAATAATGATTAAAAATCTAATTTTAAAAATTTGAAAACTAGAGTATTATTACTACTAATTAAATGAGGAATAGTTGTATTAGCCTTATATATTATGCTCCAGTAGTAGTAATGTACCTCTTTTAATAACTGTATAAATTTGAATTTATACTTTTTTCCTTAACACTTGAGGTTTATTAAATAGTTAAAACATAAGGTGCTTTGCCTTAATTAGAAACATACTAAAAATAAATCATGCAACTGTTTTTGGCTAGGAAGGGCTTTTCTGTTTAATAGGATGGAAAGGCGATGTATCTAACATGTGGCTTTTGTAGCGTAGCATTTCAGCCTAACTTTCCTCAGACATATTAAAAATTAATTGCTATGGATTTTGTTTGTATATGGGTTTCCATTAATCTGTGATCTGTATATTGAAATTCATTACATTTTACTGATTTATTTTATCAGGACAACAATAGGACATTTACATAAAATAAACAGATAATTTCTTACAATATCAACCTAGAAAATATTATTATAACTTTTTCATATTTCTTTCTCAGTTAGAGCAAAGATAAAGTTTTCCCATGTGTTTCCATCCATTATATATTTCTAGGGAGAATAGATCTTGATAAGAATATTTTAATCTGATAATTTTTAAATGACATTTTTATCAATGTCTGGCATTATGTTTTGATATTCCTATTATAATATACTCTCACTAGGTATAAAAAATAATTTGATTCTTAAGGTTGAGTCATATTCTTCATATTTCCATTCTGTTTTGATATTTGAAAGGTCTTTAATCTTATACTAAAAATCTACATAGTTCTGAAATGGAATTCTGGCAGATTTTATGTTGATCAAACATAGTTTATCAAACATTGCCTAATTCAAGAGGAAAATGACATATTTGCAAAATATATCAGCAGCCTAGGACTACATTCTGTGGTAACAGGTTGAATAGGCCTTATTGGAAATGCTGGAGACAGAAGTGTTCTTGACATAATTTTTTTCAGGTTTGGAATATTTGCATATACATAATAAGATATCTTGGGGATAAAACTGAAGTCTAAGCAAAAATAGTTTTATACACTATTTTTAGTGTGCCTGCCTATTGGCTATGACCTGTCATATGTGGTTGGTTGTAGAATAGTCTGCTTGTAGTGACACATCAGCCCCAAATATATGTTGGATGTTAGCGATTTTGTTTTGGAATAAAGAGCATTTAATCTTGGTAAAAGAAGTCTGACAACCTGGTAGAAAGTAGGCAAATAATGCTGATAACAGTTTTCAGAAAAGGAAAGAACGTGGAAATGTTTAAGAAGCCAAATTCACTCATAACTCTTAATAAAATAGTGCTGCTTCTCTTCTCAAAAACCAGTAAAGTCACAACTCATGAGTAAAGTATGACTCAGTAAATGCTGTTTTGGACCTAGGTCAGCAAGGATGGCTGCTCCTTTATAGACTGTAGAGTACTTTGCATCCTGTATGTTAATTGAACTTTACCAAAACCTTATGATATAAGTATAGCATTATATTTCCAGAAGAAAAAATATAGGCATGTTGCCTGTATTTACTCAATTAATGCTCAGATCAGTCCTAAGAAGTGGCTGTGTTACCACCTTCATTTGATGAAGGACAGGAAGAATCCTTAAGTTCCTTAAGATGCTTCACTATTTAAGAGTATAAGTATCTTCACTCTTACTTAAACTCTTTTGCCCAAACTTCATCCAATAATTTGAATTCATCTCCATTTGTCAAATGAAAGATATAAGATTCAGAGGTTTAACAACTAGTTTAAGATTATACTGCTGGTACTCGGTAGCATGCTTCCTTTGGTCATAAAGTAAGTTTTGAAGAAAGGAACAGAGAAAGACATTTTGATGACATTCCCTGTCCTGATACAAAACAGGAACACATCACAAGATGTGTGAGCTCTCCAAGAAAACAGTTGCAGTGAAAAGAATTTTTATAAAAATATTTCCTCTGTCCAGGTAGTGACCAACTAATTTGTTTTGCCCCAAAACTTCAATATGAAGTCTTAAGAAATTTTCAAGATGGCTGAATAAAAAACTGGTACTGAGTTAAAACCTGCCTGTGCTTTATGAAAATTTTCTGTTAGAAATTCTGAGCTACAGAATTCCAACTTTTCTGTGGGATGATCCAAAAACAGCAAACAGAAGGCATTAAATTTCTTGACAGTCGCAAGTGTCTACACGCATGCTATGCCATTCCTGTCCTTAGCTGCTTTTTGGTTTGTAGAGATCAGCATTAAAGCACTTTGATTTGCAACCTCGTATATTCCTCAGATTTTTTTTTAATGTAGAAAACAAAGGCAGAGTAATTTAAGACATGTGAGGTCTGTGCACTTTACCCCGCATTGATACAACTCTTAACTGAATATTTGTGTTTAGTCTGATTTTAGGACATTTACCTTGACAGTGTGCCTTCCGATGTGACAGACATTAGTGGGATTAAGATCCTGAGTTGTTTCTCTTGCTCTGTTCAGAAGCAGGTTGACACAAGTATTCTGACAAGAAGCAGAGAATGTGAAATAAATGTGATTATTAAATTAAGACAAGGCACGGCTCAGTGGGTTAAGCAATATTTAACCTTGTGTCTCCCATACTTGGATCTCACTCTAATCAACTTTGATGACAAACTCAGAAAAAAGTAACAGAATTATTTAATGACTTGCTTGAAAGCAGTGAAACTGAGTTAAAGAAATAAATGTGTGCACAAGTGAAGAGTCGGTGTGTTTATCTAGAGCTTTCCAGAGCTATCTTCACTCTCACCGAAGCTTCAGTAGCATGGCAGAGTGCAGTATGGATCAACATGGTCATTGGTGATGGATAGTTTTAGACTTCTATGTCATTTATGTCCATGCCATAGAGTAACAGTGGGTAGGCGAGAGATGGAGGTAAGCACACGTAATGTGTTTAAAGGTCTTCCTTTTTAAATTACAGCAAATTCCGTAAAGCTAGAAATGCAGAGTGATGAAGAGTGTGACAGGAAGCCCCTGAGCCACGAAGATGAGATCAGGGGCCATGATGAGGGGAGCAGCCTAGAAGACCCCCTAATTGAGAGCAGCGAGGTGGCTGACAACAGGAAAGTCCAGGAGCTTCAAGGCGAGGGAGGAATCCGGCTTCCGAATGGTAAACTGAAATGTGACGTCTGTGGCATGGTTTGCATTGGGCCCAATGTGCTTATGGTACATAAAAGGAGTCACACTGGTAAGCAGCTGAACGTATATCCCGATGACTGCCCATGGCATCTGATGTTGATATTACCTGACATCTATTCTCTTTCCTTTTTATTCAGGGGTGGCAATGTGAAGTTACCTTTTCAGAATTCTGCTAGTATTGGATTGCTGAAAAGCAGAGAGTAGCCTGGGTCTTGACTTCCAGCCTTCAAATCTGAATAGCATGTCAGAAAAGAAGTTTGGGATTCAGTTTCCACAGTTCTTAATATAGCAATAATATGATAAGGGTTCAAAAGGTATAGGAGAATTTCATTGGGTAATTTAATCATTTGGATTTCTATACATATTTTACCATGCCCATGGGCAGATAATATAGTTTGCTTCCTAAGATTTTATACTAAAAAAATGGCAGTCACACATTTAAGAAAGGATGACCATTTTTACTCTATTTAGTTAATGTCTCAAATATTATTTCTAGTCCATCTTTGCCTACCAGAGGTCTCTGTAGTGGGCAGGTACATTTCCTAGTTCAAGTTATGCTATCATCTTTTTGTACTTTTTAATTATAACTCTGGAAAAAGATAGGTAGGGTCAGATATGACTAAGGGTAGCAGATGTGTAGGTAGAAATGTGTAATTATAAAATTGGGTGAGGAAAAATCCTTTAGAAATTTAATATATGCTTTTAGGTATTGACAGACATATGAAGAGAAAGTATTAAGTTAATCTCTTCAAGTTTTTTGCTGGATGAAGGAAAGGAAGGGCCAAAGGGAAGGAGGAAGAAAGAGCTTGAGGGGGAGAGAGGAGGGAAGACAGGGAATAGTCCTTTAAAAAAAGAAAGTTAGTTGACTCTTTTACAAATGTTCAAGTTTAGCAAAGCCTGTTGGCATACCCATAATCCCAACACTTGGGAAATGGAGACAGGAGGATCAGAAGTCAAGGTCACCTTTAATTATATCAAAATTTGACATTCGCCGGGAGTGGTGGCACAGGCCTTTAATCCCAGCACTTGGGAGGCAGAGGCAGGCAGATCTCTGTGAGTTCAAGACCAGCCTGGTCTACATAGTGAGTTCCAGGCCAGTTGGGGTTACAGGGAGACCCTGTCTCAAAAAGACCCCCCCAAAAAAAAGTTTGACATTAACCTGTGCTACATAAGACTATCTAAAAATAAATAAATAAATAAAAGCACAACAAAAATATTTTGAAGTCTATATTAAAAAATTGTTAAGAGAGTATAGTCCTTACTAAAATATGGTAGAATTCTGTATCAGGATAGTAATAATTAATATGCTTAAAGTTTTAAAAGTGGTATTCATTTGGAAGAGTGAGAAATGACTCTGAAGAAAATTAATTGTAAAAGTTCACTTCTAAATAATCAAATAACTTTGTCTTTAAACAGGAGCTGTATAATTGCTTCAAAGCGTTTTTAACTCACACCTCTCACAAATGGAGTGATTTTTCCCTGTATCCCTTCCTTGGACAAAATTATCAGAGAAACTGGAAGCATGGCCTCCAGTTTGCTGGGCTAGTTTACTTTCAGTACACCATTATTGGTGTAGTAATATGTCAACAATTCATTGTGAGGCATGGCTTTAGACTATGGATGGAATTTTTAAATTACAATAAGAACTTGCATATTAAAATCAACCTCATAAACAATATGATCCACTTTCCCATGTATATATTTTTTCTAACAGAGACAATAGTATTTCTGCTCTTTGCTTTGTTATGAATATTTTGTTTAAAGAATATCATGTATTAAAAAGCATATTACAATGCAACTTTTCTCTTTTTAATGTCTTGGGAAAAGTTTTATCAAGTGCTGGTATCTAATTAAGAATAGGAAAAGTCTATAAAATTATTTAAATCTACTTTTTCATTTGTGCCCATGAAATAATTCGGGTTCATAAAGTGTGGACTATGGGTTGGAGAAATGACTCAACAGTAAAGAGCACTGACTGCTCTTGCAGAAGACCCAGATTTGTTTCCCAGCACCAACATGGTTGCTAACAACTCCAATTCCAGGGGATCCAACATCCTCTTCTGAAGTCTGTGGGCATTGCAGGACATGAGCTTAATAACATGCATGCAGACAATACACTTGTACAGATAAAATAAAAATAAAATATTTTATTAAAATGAGCTTACAAGCCAGGTGTGATGGCGCATGCCTTTAATCCCAGCACTTGGGAGGCAGAGGCCAGCCTGCTCTACATAGTGAGTTCCAGGACAGCTGGGGCTACCGAGAGACCCTGTCTCAAAAAGACAAAAAGGAAAAAAAAAAAAAAAATGAGCTTCTAAAGCTACATGTATGGTGTTGGAGTAAGTCTGCTAAAGAACTTAACTTCCATGCAACTATGTAACTTTCCTGTGACATGCTAAATTTCTTCAATTCCTTTACAGTTGAATTTCACTTACTGTTCATTGGAATGCTAAAATTTATATTAAAAAACTATTTTTGAAATATTTTTAATAAAACTTTGATGTTCTTAGTTAAGAAAATATAAAAACAAGAACATCCTTTCTTAAAAATTAGGGTTAATATTTCTCTGTGTCTGTTGTGAAATTCATGAGGATGGCTAGTTTTTACAATAATTCTAAGCTGACTATACTTGCCACTTAATATTTGCTTACAAATATGGAGTTGAATTGTTTAAATACTAAAAATTATCTAATAGGTATGGGGCATGTTTATAAACAGTAGCACACATTTGCATAAATCCTAGACTATGAGACTCACTCAGCAAGTATAGGCCAGGAGAACTGACCAAACAGCCATGTAAAGTACACTCACAGTACCACAAAGATTTTTGCCTATTGGAGTATTTTGAAAATTAGAATACCTTCTTCAGATCTGGGAGAGTTTTAATTTTAATAGGCATTCGTAGAAAAGCTTGGAATACCAACCATGCTTTTTTAGATGTGGTGTCTTAAACTAGCTTTTTTAAATATGTATTTCTGATGACTTGTTTTATCTTGGTGGGACATCATATTTTCAGTACTGTTTGATGACAGGTTATTCTAGTCAATAACCAAAAGTTTTCCCTGTAATATCAAGAATTACTGTCTTCTGTTAGGAAAAAAAAAAAAAAGAACTTCTCACTCTTAAAATGTTATTTGTAACTAAGTAAAAGGCACTGTTGAAAATCCTCTGCAAGACCTTTGGAAGTCTTTTTTGAGCATTTTTAGCTCATAGAATAATATAAAATTAACAGTGAAAACAATATAAAGCTTCCCACCTTATTCCAGTTACACAGAGTATCAGTGCTAATGCACTTTTCTTCATTTTCATTTTCTTTATACTCTACTAAAGTGCCAATTCCAGTGTCTTCCAATGGCCTGCTCTTGCTTCTTCAGCATCGGTACCTTAGTAAAACAATCCAGTAATATTGTCATCAGATACTCCAGGCACTCTACACTGAGATTAGAGGATGAAGAAAACAAATAGAGGTACAACTCAGTTCATGTGTTAACATGAATATATGAAAACATTAGAAATACAGAAAATACTTAATTTTGCTCCTCTTGAGATACAGTACTCTCCTCTTCATGACTAAGCATTCAGCACTGTGTTCTTTGCATTGCAGCATTGTGGAGCCTTTCTCTTATTCCAAGGCTTCCTCGTATTTCCAGTTGGATTTCCCGTCCAACACAGAAATACCATTGTGCCTTTGATTCGCAAAAGGAAGTTGATGCATATACGTTTGCTCTTCTATTGAATACTTAGATTCAGATTCTTAAGAATATATTTATGAAATTATATAAATTATTGAAATTTTGTCCATAATAAAAATGATGCAAAAGCTAATCTAGCAAATAACTAAAAATGAACCAGTAAATTGACAAGCTCAGTTTAAAAAAACTTAACCAGGCTGGGCTCTGGTGGAGCTCACCTGTGATCCTAGCACTTGAGAAACAGAAGTAGGAAAAATCAGGAAATCAGGTTACAGAGCAAGTTCAAGGGCAGTCTGAGCTACATAAGACTGTACATCAAAAAGCCATAAAACTGAAACAGAACCCACAATCAGCTTTAGAATAGAGGCAGAATACCATGAGCATATCCTACTTATTCTTCCAATTGTTAGTCCACACTTTTGTGCCTACCAGTGGGAAAATTAGCTATTCTGATTACCCACTCTGTTTTTGAATTGTAATTAGCAATGTGAGCAATAAATTTGTGGGGTCTTAAATTTTTATTTTATATATGAAGAACACAGTATTCTATATAAAGTGTTTACTTACTCACAAAGAGCTGATCCACTCCATTTGAGTTAAAGAACAAACTAAAATAATTCAGATGCATTGTTTAAAACCCCAATGACAGTATACCATTTGGGCCTTGTGTACTTTTTACCATATAAGTCTACACATAGCCTCATAATACACAGGCTGGGAAGTAGCCCGCCATTTTGAAAAGTAGAATCTGAATATTTTACTGAACTTTTAGTTACTGATTTTTTTAGTTGTTCTTAAGTTGCTGTGAATATATACTCTATATTGGAGTATTCCTAAAATATAGTTATATATACCAAAAGAAAAAAAGCTATCTGCTTTTATGCTCATCTTCAGTAGTAGTGTTATTGAAAGTTTCACTCTAATAGCAAGTAGCTGTAGTGTTGAATGCAGTAACTGTGTCGTTGAAATGATAATTGTCAGTTCATTGTAATCAAGATATTAAGAGCACTTACACAGATTTCAAACTAAAATTAGGAAAGCTCTACAGTTGTCAACCAAAAACAAAGAGCATCAGTCGATCAAGACTTAGTCTTAATTTACATCAGTATTTCTCGAAGTTTTATCTGGTTGAAATCAAAGAGCACAGTTGCTATAGAAAAGGCCTTCCAGGTTCATTTCATCATGTCTTGTTCTTTCCATCCCAGGGCCTTGGAAATATGCAAAGGCCTCCTCACTAGACTTCTGCTCGCTACCCAGCCGTGTTCTCAGGTGTACCTAGACTCTCCTTTCCCACTCTCTCTGACTCTTGCCTAGTGAAAAGCTTCAAAAACAGCCTAGATTTTGTAAATGTTAACACTAAATTACCCCATTATTAATCTCATAAAACTTAGATTAGTTTAAAAATTCTTTTGAAAAGGATTCCCTTTATTACTGTTTCCTTTTTAGACTAGCACTATTTTAAATAATGAATTAACTAACATGGATTAAAAATACCATAATTCAAACATTATAAATGGCTTAAGGACAATTTAAATCAGTTCATCACAAAGGCAAACATGTTTTAAAAATTTTTGTTCAGCATACCTGCTAATTTAATTCCTGTTAAAAGTTATTCCAGACTCATTTGTTACTTTTCTGGGAAACTTTACATAGAAAGATTCCAAGAGTCAAACCAAACAATTGAAATGAAAATATACTTCACATTCACTGTTTTCTTGTCAAAAGGTTAATTTGTTAAAAAAGTACCTGTCTTTCCTTTTATTATAAATTCCATGTTAAGGGTAGAGGATAATTATGATTTTTAAAGTTGCACTCTGTTATTTCCTGAGTGGGAAAAAAAATTCAAAGAATCAAGCTAAGTTGCATTTTTGTGTGTAAATAAAAAAAATATGAAAACTTAGGTTTAAAATTCAGGCATACTGCCATACACACCTGTAACTGCAGCACTTGGGCAGGCTAAGGCATCATACACAAGACCCATTTCAGTTAAGCATCAGATCAAAATTAGATTTTAAAACATTTATTATGTCATAATGTCAGATAAGGGGTTTTAGAATTACCAAATGCATCAAACTAGTTAAATAAAATACAGTTTAAGCTAACTTTAATACGATGACTTTTTTCAGCATAATATAGGAACTTTTGTAAACTTAGTTCTAACAGCTTAATAGTTTGTAAGGAAAGCACTTAACTTTTACTGTCCTCACAGATTGTACTTTTTGGTATATACATCATTAACTTTCAAAAGCAAATTACAGAATCTAGTATGTGCCTGATCTTATCTATTTTTATTTTCTTCAGGTTTTATAACAAAATATATGATAGAATATGCAGTGGTTGCCACCAGAGCCTGATGACAATTCATCGGTTTTAATCCCTAGCCTCCTTCTAAAGTAGAAACACTTTGTTTGCATTATATTATAGGCCAAATATATATATGTGTGTGTGTGTGTGTATATATATATATATATATATGTTTCACTTTACTATTACTATGAAAGATAGTAAAGGTACAGAAAATAAGACAAGTCAATGTACATTCTATTAAAAACTATAGAAATTATAATTATCGTGTAATCTCAAATGCAGAAAAGGTTCAGTTCAACTAAAAGGAAGTGTTTAATTTTGCTAAACTTTGAGTTTTAGGATGAGATCTTTTTACTAATTTTTATATGTTAGTTTATCGTTTATTTCATGTCTGTGCTTAGAGATGGGCAAATTTAAAGTAAGAATATTTTCTTCATAGTTTGATAATATTATCCTACTTGCCGTTTTACTGACTCACTGCCTATGTGTTTTTATGTTTAATGACATTAGTGTCTACCAGTTGATGCCAATAAACTTAACTGAGAATTCAGGCTTAAAGAATTCTATAACAGATCCACCAATAGGAGAAATGTGAAAAGATTCCTGTCAAACAGATGGATTTTCATAAAATAAAGAGAATATGCAAAATCTACATAGATAATTTTCCATGGATTTTCCCATGTATACCAAGAGTTTTTGCCAAAAGTTTCGTTTTTGTGAACAAAAGAATAAAGCTAGTGTGGTTATATTTGGAGGTTGTACTAATGAGCTTTGAAAGCTTGTTCGTTTTTTCTGCCTATTTTAGTCCTCTTGCTGACCAGATTCAGTCCTGAATGTATTAGATACTTTGATATTCTGACTTCTATGTCTTCATTCATAACTTGAAATCGATCTTCCTAATTATTGTCATTGCAAGGGTTTAGTGCTGTGTGGCGGCAATCAGGTGAGCAATGGCGCCTAGCTGTTCAGTTACTGGTAAATGCCCTTTTTGGTGCTCTTTTCAATCAGTAACAAGAAGCTTGTCAAGTTTATATTAAATAGGAAATGACTATTTGACCTAACGTGTGAGCCTTTAGTATTAACAGAGCACACTGTAACAGAAAGCAAAGGTTTGATTTATGTGGGAGGTGAACCTGGTGAACAGAGAGAGTTGACTGAGGTTAATGGTGGATGGCAAGCCCAGCCAATCACTTGCAATAACCTACTTGATCTTTCCCACTCTGTCTGCAGGTGAGCGCCCCTTCCACTGTAACCAGTGTGGAGCTTCCTTTACTCAGAAGGGCAACCTTCTGAGACACATAAAGTTACACTCTGGAGAGAAGCCGTTCAAATGTCCTTTCTGTAGCTATGCTTGTAGAAGAAGGGACGCCCTCACAGGACACCTCAGGACCCACTCTGGTAAGTGTCACAAGTTAAAGCTAAAAGATGAGAATTCAAGAATGTGTTAGAGCATTTCATTCAGTAGTGTAAAGCTTTTGTTTAGGACTAGGAACAACCAGGTTTTTTGTTTTTTTTTTTTTTGTGTGTGTGTGTGTGTGTGTGTGTGTATTAAAAATTGGCAACTTCTATAGGATGCATATGGGTCTTTTATAGATTAATAGACTTGGAAAAAAGGGGCACTGCTAACTAATGAGTGTCTTATCAGGATATTAGAATAAAGAACAGCTGCAACGTAAATTTTCTAGAAATATTTAGTGTTATAGTTATTAAAACAGTGTTTATGGTTAATCCAAGAAACTGAAGACCTTGTGAAATATCAGACATCCTTTCTAGAGTCAACTAGAAAAGAAATGCAAACTGTAATTATTTTTTAACCAGTGCAATACTCAGGCTTGGACTTCAGTGAGAAATCAAATATTGTTACTTTTAAATTTAAAAATACTGTACTCACTAGAAAGTTGACTCTTGCAGTAATTTATTTCACTTTAACTCTCCTTGTGTTGCTAACTTTCAAAGTAGTCACTGGGAAAATTTTTCTGCTTCAAAAATGACTTAATAATCTAGAATGTTTGATTTTTAAATACAAGAATATAAATAGATAGAAGTAAAAGAATGATGAGAAATCTGAATGAATCTCATCTGATTTTAGCATGAATTGCCATTATTGAGAAATTAAAGGTGTAAAGAGTAATATAAATACACTTAAGTCAGTTTAAATGCTTTTCTCTAATGACATTAATTTTAATAAGAAGCCATGTGAAAACAACATTTTCATACACATTAATAAGTGTTACTGAGTGCTTGCATTACCCTTCTTTACATTTTTCTTGCTCTACTTAAGGCTGAACTTAATTTTTAATATAAATGTAAATTATAGAAAACTATTTTAAACATTAACTCTTAAATTTGGGCAGTTATAAATGTTAAATTAGTGTGCATATTAAAACAAACTATTTGAAGTATTCTAAGTATATTTTACTTTCCTTCCTAACTTAATATTAATTTATATTATATTTTATTTTAAAATTATGTTGCTCTAGTTATCACCTAAAGTGGTATCATTTTGTATCCTAAGTATGTCAAAGTATCGTATGTTAAAAAGCATTTTTAAGAGATTATAGATATTTCCTTCAGCTATCTATACATTCCGACTTATTAAGCTAGTTTAAACAGAGCCAGGCGCAGTGGCCCAACACTGTGGAGGCAAAGGCAGGTGGACCTCCGTGAGATGGAGGCCAGCCTACTCTGCACAGTTAATTCCAAGTGAGCTGAGGCTACAGAGGGACACTGTCACAAAAAAAATAAAAAGCAAAACAAATAACAATAACAAAAATTATGTGACTGAACTGATTAAGGAATAGATAGCCCTTATGTTTTCATGAAAATGTATTTTGTTGGGGCTGGAGAGATGGCTCAGTGGTTAAGAACACTGATTGTTCTTGCAGAAGACACAGGTTCGAATCCCAGCACCCATATGGTAGCTAACAACTGTCCGTAACTCCAGCCCCAGGGGATCCGACAGCCTCTTCTGACCTCCGCGGGCGTTGCACAACACGGGGCACTTACTCCATGCAGGCAATACACTCATACACATAAAAATAAATAAAATTTAAAAAAAGAAAATGTATTTTGTCTCACCTTCATATATAATAATTTTAAAATTCTACTTCATTCTTCACAAAACTATGTCTATTATTACCATGGTTTCCTGTAATATATTAGCTTCTTGATCTTCATAAATAAAGACACAGTCCTTATAACTCTTATTCTGTTATTTCGCAACTGTGTATACCTAATTGTGGTTTCTGCAGATAAACCAGTAGCGTACAGGAACTGGTTTGACTAAGAAAGTTTAATGTAGTGACTACAGGGAGATGCCCCATGTACTACATCTTCAAGGATGATTCGAGTCAGCAACACTAACTAAAATATAAGATATTAGCCATTATCAATCTTCACAATAACTAAAACAGTGTCTGTGCTTCTCTCACTGGTCAGAAGCTCAAAATGTTTATGTAGCTTTTTCTTCCCACTCACTCCCATCTTCCCTGGCTTGTACTCTAGCACCTGGCTAGACAAGGTTCCTTATCCGAGTAGTGAGCCAAGCCTTAATTCCTGAAAGTTATATATCTTTGGAGATCCCATCTTTCTTGATTTACTGCAGTTTTCAGTAACCAGTATTTATCAAATAGGTGTTTTGAAGAGATGCCACCATAATTCTCAATGTTCCAAACATAGTTCTTGCCCCCATTGTACAGAAACAACCTAAAACTAACTCAGCTTTGGAGAATTTTGACCTCAGCCAGGGTGGTCGATAAATTAGCTGCTGGAGAGCAGGGGGTCAATGTGCCCGAATCCAGAGTTTCTATCCTTGTTCCTGTTTTCACTTTGTACATGGGTCCATTGAGCAGATACCAGAATGGTAAGGTAAGCATTGATGCCCATAAGATACCTTACTTTGTCTGGATTACTAAGGGCCTTGTCCACAGTGGATGCTTTTAAGGAATTAATGTAGGTACCATATTATATTTTGTATCAATTCTGCAAGATGCATCTATATAACTCTCCCTAAACCTTTGTCATTAATCTTCTAGTTGTTGGCCATATGGCCATGCCGAACGTCATAACCTCAGACAGTCTCTTCTTGCACTCAAAGTGTACAGTCAAGAGTGCTAGGTGAAATCCAGGCTGCTAAGGAATCTCTTTTCCCCATCTCAAAACTACCTTCTCTCAATTGGGGCTGAAAGCACCATAGTCATCGCTAGCACCAAGCACTATACAATCTGTTTTCAAACTGGACTTACACACTATTTCCTTCTCCATTAGCTGGTCATTGAGAACATCCCACAAGGTGATTGATGGACTGAAGGGGACAGATTGAGTAGCAGCAGAGCAGTTACCATGGGCACCTCATCATTGCTCATGAAACATGTTTGGCTTCACGAACTGCCTCATCTCAGTTCCGTTTAGCAGAAATGCTCATGTATCCCTCTTATGCCATGATAGAACAAACGGGGTAACACCTAGTTCATAGGGTATAATTTGGGCCTCTTCATTATTTGGAGCTCTGTATCCTAGTATTCAGTCATAATTAGCATTATTAGCAAATTAAGAGCTGCTTTTAAAACAGGGAATAGCTATTGGTAGATCTAGGTTCTTTATGACAAAACCATTAGAGATTGGCACTCTGAGAGGTGTCACATGGTGCCTCTACTCACCACAGGCCTTTCCAAAAATAGTTGCTTGTGCTGGATCTTTAAGCCAAGGGTACAGGGTACCTTTCACCATGGCAGGTATGTTGCAAGTTCTTTCCTGTTCCAAGCTCCTCTCACAACTAGCAGCCTGGCTTACTTCCAGCAGAGAAATAGACTCAAATGCAGTCTCTGCTGTTTCCAGAATCTATATCACCCAGATATTGAGCCTTGTTCTTCCTGATGAAAATTATGAGGAGTAGCAATTTATCACAAGACAGAGAAGCTCTATTGCAGCCCGGACCCCATGGGCTTGTAATATTTCACCAGTGCAGAAAGTCCTTGAGGTCTCCAGGAGTTTATCCACTTTCCTCTAGCATTTATCTTGGGACACATCTTGGCTGTTTACTCCTTCCTGTTCGTCAAGTCCAGCTGGTGTAATGTCATGAATGCAACTGTCCAGCTTGTTTCATGGTGTGCTCAGATGAGGAGTTCTCCAGACTCTATGGTTGTGAGCAGAACAGAGTTAGTAAGGTAAGATAGTGAAAGTATGTTGTCCTGCAGTGTGGAAGTCAGCTGCTTGTGATTATCTTTGTTGATAGGAACTGTTTTACAAAGAAGTCAAATTAGCTCTCTACCTGAGGGCCCTGGTATGTTAAAATGTTTCAGTTAAGATTCAGTTAGCGTGGCGCTTGCACCTGTCATTGTGCTGTGGTTAAATCTGCACTCATGCACGGATCCATCTATGTCATGCATTATCATAATAAGCAGTTTAAATGGTATTTGACATGAATACCTCTTTCAGATTTCTGGAGGTCTCACTAGCTTCTGTAACTCACCTGGAGATGCATTATTTAGCCCTGTCATTGGTCAGTGACCAAAAACTATTAGTTTGGATATTGCTTACTTTATTTAGCAGTACAATTCCATAACCCTTCAAATCAGATTTTGGAACTAGTCTTTAACCATATTTGCCCTAGGCTTAGGTAAACAAAGGTCATTTAAAGCAGATAAATGTTCTCAGGTTCCACCTTCCTTCAACTGGAGCATTCAGGGTGTTCATTTTGTCCTTTCATTTTGTATATCCCTTAGGGCCATTGGAATTAGCCAAGTCACACCGTGAACTTGACTCTACACGTTGCTGTAGCTGTATTAGCATGTAATTGCCATAGCTTCCCAAGTCTTACCCTGTGTCACACTTCATTCTATCTAGGGCTCACCAGTAATCACATTGTCCTACTTTGCTTTGCTGAGAGAAAACCCTCTGACCAAAAACAATTAGGGACAGCAAGGGTTTATTTCATTCCACAGCTGACAGTCCATCATTGAGGAAAGCCAAGACAGGAACTCAAACCAGGAGCTTGACAGAAACCACAGAAGAATTCTGCTTACTAGCTTGGGACTAGTTTGTGCTCAACCAGCTTTCTTCCCTCCCTCCTTCCCTCCCTCCTTCCTTCCTTCCTTCCCTCCCTCCTTCCTTCCTTCCCTCCCTCCTTTCTTCCTTCCTTCCCTCCTTCTTCCCTCCTTCCTTCCTTCTTTCCCTCCCTCCTTCCCTCCTTCCTTCCCTCCTTCCTTCCTTCCCTTCCTTCCTTCCTTCCCTCCATCCCTCCTACCTTCCCCTCCATCCCTCCTTCCTTCCCTCCATCCCTCCTTCCTTCCTTCCCTCCTTCCCTCCTTCCTTCCCTCCTTCCTTCCCTCTTTCCTTCCTTTCTTCCTTTCTCTTCCTTCTTTTTCTTTTTTAATTGATTTTTTTCTGCATTTCATACA